GTGTGTGGGTGTGTCGGTGTGTGTGGTGTGTGTGTGTGTGGGGGGGTGGGGGGTGTGTGTGTGTGTGTGGGTGTGTCGGTGTGTGTGGTGTGTGTGTGTGTGGGGGGGTGGGGGGTGTGTGTGTGTGTGTGGGTGTGTCGGTGTGTGTGGTGTGTGTGTGTGTGGGGGGGTGGGGGGTGTGTGTGTGTGTGTGGGTGTGTCGGTGTGTGTGGTGTGTGTGTGTGTGGGGGGGTGGGGGGTGTGTGTGTGTGTGTGGGTGTGTCGGTGTGTGTGGTGTGTGTGTGTGTGGGGGGGTGGGGGGTGTGTGTGTGTGTGTGGGTGTGTCGGTGTGTGTGGTGTGTGTGTGTGTGGGGGGGTGGGGGGTGTGTGTGTGTGTGTGGGTGTGTCGGTGTGTGTGGTGTGTGTGTGTGTGGGGGGGTGGGGGGTGTGTGTGTGTGTGTGGGTGTGTCGGTGTGTGTGGTGTGTGTGTGTGTGGGGGGGTGGGGGGTGTGTGTGTGTGTGTGGGTGTGTCGGTGTGTGTGGTGTGTGTGTGTGTGGGGGGGTGGGGGGTGTGTGTGTGTGTGTGGGTGTGTCGGTGTGTGTGGTGTGTGTGTGTGTGGGGGGGTGGGGGGTGTGTGTGTGTGTGTGGGTGTGTCGGTGTGTGTGGTGTGTGTGTGTGTGGGGGGGTGGGGGGTGTGTGTGTGTGTGTGGGTGTGTCGGTGTGTGTGGTGTGTGTGTGTGTGGGGGGGTGGGGGGTGTGTGTGTGTGTGTGGGTGTGTCGGTGTGTGTGGTGTGTGTGTGTGTGGGGGGGTGGGGGGTGTGTGTGTGTGTGTGGGTGTGTCGGTGTGTGTGGTGTGTGTGTGTGTGGGGGGGTGGGGGGTGTGTGTGTGTGTGTGGGTGTGTCGGTGTGTGTGGTGTGTGTGTGTGTGGGGGGGTGGGGGGTGTGTGTGTGTGTGTGGGTGTGTCGGTGTGTGTGGTGTGTGTGTGTGTGGGGGGGTGGGGGGTGTGTGTGTGTGTGTGGGTGTGTCGGTGTGTGTGGTGTGTGTGTGTGTGGGGGGGTGGGGGGTGTGTGTGTGTGTGTGGGTGTGTCGGTGTGTGTGGTGTGTGTGTGTGTGGGGGGGTGGGGGGTGTGTGTGTGTGTGTGGGTGTGTCGGTGTGTGTGGTGTGTGTGTGTGTGGGGGGGTGGGGGGTGTGTGTGTGTGTGTGGGTGTGTCGGTGTGTGTGGTGTGTGTGTGTGTGGGGGGGTGGGGGGTGTGTGTGTGTGTGTGGGTGTGTCGGTGTGTGTGGTGTGTGTGTGTGTGGGGGGGTGGGGGGTGTGTGTGTGTGTGTGGGTGTGTCGGTGTGTGTGGTGTGTGTGTGTGTGGGGGGGTGGGGGGTGTGTGTGTGTGTGTGGGTGTGTCGGTGTGTGTGGTGTGTGTGTGTGTGGGGGGGTGGGGGGTGTGTGTGTGTGTGTGGGTGTGTCGGTGTGTGTGGTGTGTGTGTGTGTGGGGGGGTGGGGGGTGTGTGTGTGTGTGTGGGTGTGTCGGTGTGTGTGGTGTGTGTGTGTGTGGGGGGGTGGGGGGTGTGTGTGTGTGTGTGGGTGTGTCGGTGTGTGTGTGGTGTGTGTGTGGGGGGGGGTGTGTGTGTGTGTGTGTGTGTGTGTGTGTGTGTGTGTGTGTTGAACCCTGGCTAATACACTGACATTTAGTAACAAGTAACAGTTTCAAATCCAAGGCCCAGACTCAGCCAGTGGGCAAACAGAAGGAATCCCTGGCAGCAATGAGCAGCAGCAGCTTCACTAGAGCAGCCCTGCAGCCGGCTCCCAGCAGAAGACTGCAGGGACTGCTTGATTAAATGGAGCTGAATCACTTTTCTGAGCAGCTCAGAGCAAACCAATCAGTATAATCTCCCTCCCTCTCCCTCTCTCCCCCTCCCTTCCTCTTTCTGTCTGTCTCTCTCTCTCCCTTCTTCCCTCCCTTCTTCTCCTTTCCCTGGATACCAACTCCAGGAGCTAGGTGAGTTCTCTGCTGCTGCACTAGATGCAAGGCCCTTCCTTTAGATCAAATGAGGGATGTGGGAGTCACAGCTGCTAGGTGACTATGCAGGGTGCCCCAGTGAGGAAGTAGCAGAACAGGGTCAAACCAATGCTGTCCTCTCTGCCTTTGGACTTGAGCTATGGTAGCAGACCCCACCCCTTTCTTGGGTGTGAGCTGCCTGGAAGGTCCAGATTCCTGTGCATTTTTGTTAATATCACATCCTGCCCAAGGCCACTAGACTCCCACATACACCCTTTGACCTACCTATCTGCTGGCAGGCTTCCCGACATTCTGTCATGAATAATGAGCTTTTGCTTAAATGTTCCAGCTTAGGAACATGCCTGCAGCCTGCATGCACTGGCCAAATTAAGGTGACTTAATTTTTAAAAGGACAAATAAAGTTGAAGGTTAGTTACACTTTAAGGTTGTACAGAGGTATAGCATAGTGATAGCCACATTCCTCGAATGTACAAGGTTCTGGGTTATAGCCTTGGGAACAAAAGGGGAAAAAAAGATTGCACTTTAGGCAAAGAGCCAATTAATCCTATCTTGCGTTTTTTTTCTTTTCAAGATTTTAAATTTTATTTTTATTTATAAGTATATGTATGAATACATGTATATCACCTGGTACAGGAACCAGTGAAGGCAAGAATTACCAGATAGCCTAAAACTGGGGTTACAGTGAACCATGTGAGTTCTGAGAACTGAACTCCGATCCTCTGTGAGAACAGTCAGTGCTCTGAACTGCTGAGCCATCTTTTCACCCTCTGTCCTGCTTCTTCTTAAGAAATCCTGTAAAACTGTGTCTCACAAAAAAATCTTTCCTAAGCCAGGATGACAAATAACTGTGATAACTTTAAATTTCAATGGAACCCCTGAGTTCAGCAATAGAAACCTATTATCCATGCTCAAGTGACAGACACATGAGAGCATGACCTCATTTTATAGGCTACTTCTTCTGCCAACAAAAGATTCCCAACCAATTGTCTCAAGAGATATATACTTAACCTTCCTAAAGGCCTGGGAAGTAGTACAAGATGCCACCTGCATAGGGCCTGGTAGATTAAAGAAAGCAATGGCCAGTGGTATACCAGCAAACATAACAACTGGCTCTCACATGAGAAAGTCCCAGTTTGGTCAGGAAGCAGAGACAGAAGATCAGGAAGCCAAGATCATCCTTGACTAGCTAGCGAGTACAAAGTCAGCCTGGGTTATGTGAGGCTCTGTACCAAACAGAACGTATTTTGTACTTACCTCTCCTTTCCTACTCTTGCACAATCCAGGATCCCCTGCCTCAAGAGTGGTGCCAACAGCAGTGGGCAGGTCTCCCCCTCTGTTAATATAACTAACACAATCCCCACAGACGTGCCCACAGGCCAGCCTGCCCTGGACAGTCACTCACTGAGAACTGTGTGAAGTTCACTAAAGCTAGACATCAGGGGTCAGCGGTTGAGAGCACTTACTGATCTTGCAGAGGACCTGGGTACAGTGCTCGGCATCCACATCTCTAACTCCAGGGCCTCCTTAATCACCTGCACTCAGGCGCATGTACCAAAAGACACATGGTTTCAAAGAAATAATAAATCTTAAAAAAGAAGAAGAGATGCTAACTATACTGGGACTGACCCACATCAGCCAAGAAAAAAGGCTTATCCTCCTGTTTCCTTTAAGTTCCATTCGTCTTCCAAGACCATTATCAGGTGGCCCCTCTTTGGGCCAGTGACTTGGCTCAGCAAAATAAAGATTCTTGCCACCAACCCTGAACTTGATCCCCGGTACCCACATGGTGGAAGAAAATGAACCTGGGCAGACATGTCCCCCACCAACACATAAACGTAATAAAATAAGATGCTCCCTCTTCCCCACTCCCCATAGTTATTATTCCCCCAATATTTTTCTTATAAGTGTTATTTTCCCACTATAAAATAGGTTTTCATCAGAGAATCTAGAAAACATCCAATAATGGGACACATGGGGACACACACACACACCAAAACTCTTGTGATGTCTAAAATGAAACAATGGCTGGCCTTGAACTCCTGATTGTCCTCCTCAACCTTTCACGTGCAAGGATTACAGGGGTACGTTCACCACACACAGCTTTATAGTTTGGATCATGAATGTACCCAAAGGCCCATGTGTTAAAGGCCTTGTCCCCAGGGTGGTACTACTGAACAATGGTGAGATCTTCAAGAGGTTGAGGACTAGCTGGGCCTGGTGGCAGAAGCTTCCCAGCCACTCCAGAAGCTGAGGCAGAAGGATCATAAGTTCAAGGCCAGCCTGAGCAACTTAGTGAAACCCTGTCTCCAAATATCATTAGGAAGAGGAGTTAAGGATGTGGCTCAGTGGTAGAACACTGGCCTGGTATGTGTGACGCTCTGGGTCTGTTCCCCTGCAGCGCTCACCAAAAGAGACAGGGTCTAAGGGGAGGTCTTTGGATCATTGAGGGTTATACCCTCAAAGAAAATCCTAGGAATGCCAACCCTTCTCTATTGCTTCCTAGACTTGGGGTTGGCAGTTGTGCTCTGATGTGCTCTTTACCGTGGCTATCCAGTATCCTCAACAGAGGCATAAACACACTGGGTCCCTCTAATCATGCACTGTATTTGTAAGACCAGGGGCTATAATAAGCCTTCTTTTTCTTCTTGATAACCATCTTGGGTATTTGCGATGGAGGCGCAAACCTGACCAGACTGCAGCACTTACCCATCTTTGTAGCACTGGCTTCACTGCCCTGCACAATGACTGCTTATGGGAAAGCTCTCCTGAGAAAAGAGCAGTCCTACCCACACCTGTTCCTGCTTCCCCAAGCCTACCCAGTGTCCAACCCCAGCGTAACTCCCACCTTGTAGCTGCTCCCAGTTCACCCAGATGCTTCATTACAAGGCTTCTATGCACATAAGGAAACTGGGCTGTTCACGTTCACACTCAGAGTTGGCTCTCGTCGTTATCCTAAACACACACTGCCACACTCCTGCCGGGAGCAAGGCAGACCCTTGTCCTTACCTGCATGCCTCTCATTTTCTGGAACCTCGCAATGGTGTCACTGAGGGTGTAGACTCGTATGTGGCCCATGTGCAGCTTGCCAGAAGGGTATGGGAACATGGAGAGCACATAGAATTTGGGCTTCGATTTCTAGGAGAGAGTGACAAAGGAAGATAGGAAGTATTTATTATATATTTGCTGGAAGCTGTGCATACATTAATATTTTGGCACTTTATTCAAGGTAATAATTTAACATTTTAACAACTTCTTAAAGAAAAAGAAAAAAAAACCTTCCAGGCAGTGGTGATGCAAGCCTTTAATCCCAGCACTGAGGAGTCAGGCAGGTGGATCTCTGTGAGTTCAAAGCCAGCCTGGTCTACAGAGTGAGTTCCAGGACAGTTTTACAGGACTGTTTTTCCAAATGAGCCTCTAACACAGATCTCCATAACTAGAGTCTCTTCCCCAGGTCCTCTAGACTGCAACAACAGGGTCTCCAGGCATTAGCTGGGTCCTGAAGTCTCTCCTGTGCACTGTGAATTTCTCTTTTAACACAGGAAATCTACACATCTGACTAGAATGACAGAACAGGGGGTCCCATGAGGTCACTACCTTTGGGCACACTCAGTCTTCCCCCGGCAGGATGGGAAATGTCAAGAGTTTGTGCCTGTCAGAGGACCAAGCCCCAAAGAAAGGGCTCTAGTCACAGAGCTGATTGCTTATGGGAGACCTGATTTTTTTGGTGCTTGTAGAAAATTCTGCAGTGCTGAGGATAGAACTGAGGATCTCATACATGCTAGGTGAGTGCTGCATCACTGTACTTCATGCACAACCACAAGGATTATGGGTCATATCTATGCTCACCATGCTGACACTCAACAGAACTGAAATAACTCTTAGATGAATGCTTGTTGGCCTTGGGGAAGCACCTTCTAACAAAGGCACAGCTGTTCCCCCCAGCAGACTTTACAAACCCTGTCCAGGTAACTGGAGGCTCCCCTAACCAACTCTCAAATTCTGCCATGGGGCATCTGGAAGAGTGACAGATAACTGCTGCTGATGGTCAATGAGGACGGGCTATCTACTGTCACACTATTGTTAATGTTGGCCTTTTTGGTCCCTACTTCTTCCAAGAGCTTTAGAAAGCATCAAGGTTTTGCTTCTCCCAAAGCAATGAATATAAACACTGACAGAAATTCACAGCCCTTCCTGTGCATATGTGGCAGGTGGTGTTTTAAATGTTGTTGGCTAGTATTTGTAGGACTGATGATGGACAAAACCTACTTGTGATGGTTAATACCAAGTGAAACAGGGCATGGTGGCACACACTTGGAGGCAAAGACAGATGGATCTCTGTGAGTTCAAGGCCAGCCTGGTCTACAGAGTGAGTTCCAGGACAGCAAGGGCTACACTGAGAACAGCTGTCTAAAAAAAAAACAAAACAAAACAAGCAAACAAAAAAACCCAACTATTAACCAACTATTAACCAACTATTAACGTTCTAGAATCACCAAGGGTAGCAAAGTTAGGGCATGTTAGTCAATATGGTTAACTGAAGACACAGCCTAAATGTGATTAGTACTGTTCCATGGGCTCAAGTCTTGAACTGAAAAAGAGAAAGAAAGATGAGCAGTGCATTCATCTGTCTTTGCTTGCTTAATGTAAGATACAATGTGACTCACTACCTTCCCCTCATCTAGACCTTATTCTCCAAAACTGTGAGCCAAAATGAACCCTTCCTTATGTTGCTTCTGCCTGATATTTGACCACCACAAAATAAATAAATAAATAAATAACTAATATACAACTTGAATCAGGGAAGCAGAACTAGAAATCAGATTCTAGCAAAGTTTGGTTGGTTGGTTGGTTGGTTGGTTTCTGGAGCAGAATTTTGCTATGTAGCACAGGCTAGCCTCAAACTTGAAGCAACCCTCCTGCCTCTGCCTCCAGAGTGCTAAGACTACAGGTGTACATCACCATGCCATGTCCAGCTTCTTGCTAAGTTCTTAAACTTCAGCAAATGTTTTAAATTTTTAGCAAAACCACAAACAACAGCTAACCACCCTCCATCCCCCCAAAAACACAAAACACAACTTTTCTCCGTCCTGTCTGTCCTCTAGAAATAAAAAAAGGTAAGTAGGTAAGAAACAACATCACCTGGAGAAAGATACACTTTTTAAAGTTTTTCTCAGAGTCTGGAGAACCACTGGAAGAATAATGATTTAAATAAGCAGAGTGGCAGGCAGGGAAGATCTCACGAGTCAGGAGACCCTGAGTGGGGCTCGTGAGCACTCAGGGACTTCACTGCTTAAGAAGACAAGGTCAGCCCTGGGGTTTGGCTCTATGATACAGTACTGGCCTAGCCTGTGCAAGCTCATGGGCTTCATCCCAGACATTGGGGAGAAGAAAAAGTGAGTGACAGAAGAAAATCCTTCCCCTTGTGAACAAATTCTTATGAGGGGTGAAACAGCTCAGTTTCTACTGAGTGCAAAAATAAAACTGTCTCCTTTACTGAACTCTTTCTCTATCTGCAATAGATTAGACCCCATTGCTTTTCTTTGGGAATTCTGAGTATTACAGGAAAAGACTGTAATCACATGGGGGCTGGAGAGATGGCTTAGTAGTTAAGAGCACGGGCTGCTCTTTCGAGGACCTGAGTTCAATTCCCAGCACCCACATGGGAGATCACAGTTGTCTGTAACTCCAGTTCCAGGGAATCTGATATCCTCACACAGACTTACATACAGGCAAAATACCAATGAACACAGAGTAAAAGTAAACAAATCGTTTAAAAAAAAAAAAAGGCTATAATCACAGGGGTTAGAAAAGTAATTAAATCCTTTACATATACTATGTAAGGTTTTTTGCTTTCTAAGACAGGGTCTTGTTATGTAGCCCAGGCTGGCCTCAGGCTTCTTAAGTGCTGGGACTACAGGTCTGTGTCACACCTGGCCTATTTCTAGATTTTTGATTTTCAAGTTATTATGTAAAGCAATTTTCTCTTATTATAATCACCCTACCTTTTTGTACTATTAATTATATAATATTAATTACCAACCTTGCTCAAACATTTTCTGCACACAACTTCTTCACTGGCCTCCCCATTTTTGTATGCTTGTTCAATGAAGATTAAATTAATGGCAACATCAAATAATTCATCACACACTAGTTAAGCTGAACTCCAAACCTGAGTTCATAAGAGATATGCAGAAAAGCAATGCTACCAAGTCTTGATACTTGTGAACAATTTTGTTTCTGCAGAAGATTTATTCAGCCCACTGCCTGCCCCTGCCTTGTGCTTTTCTGTGTGAATTAAGTCATTTTCCTCTGTGACAATGACATGAGTTCTATCATCTGGAGGTGGAAAAGAGAGAAGAAATGACAGGAATTTGTGTTATAATTGAACAGGAATCTGACTGAAAGGGAAATTTTCATAATTACATAAAAGTGCAGGAATTCAAGCCTTTGAGAGAAAGCATGAACACCAGCAATGGGAAGAGGATGGCTTCTAAAAGCTGGCTCCAGATTTCCATCAGACTGTGATTTAGAACATAACTTCTGCCTCTCTGGTGCTTCCTCTCTAAGGCTGTAACACAGTCCTCACAGGCATACAGGAACTCCAGTTCTGACCCTCACTTTGCCATGAGACAAAGTGAGGCCTCACACAAAATCCCCTTCCTAGGCTCAGTTTATTCTCCATTGGTGACTGATACAGAGTGTTTCCAGACAGCAAGGCTCTCAAGAGAGTTGGGTGGATCCCAGCTTGGCACATTACCTGGGCTTCAGTGTTCCAACTCCCCAGGTAAGGATACTGCTCACACTCAAGGCTGTTCCGATACTAAGACATTCAACCAATGGAAATGGCACATGGAAAAATGCTCACTAAATAGAAGTTGGGATTTGTTTTGTTTTGCTTTTTAATGGTGGTTTGATGATGATGATGGCAAGACACCTGGCTTCTAAACACTTTTGTGGATTTCAGTCGTACTTAATATCAATGTGAGGTGAACACTAAAGCTTCACTTCATATACACCAGTGTTCATTCAGATTCTCAGTCCCTGGTAAAATAGCATGTGATTTTATCTGCAGTTTGTTTATTTATGTAACAGTTCAGTTTAGAAAATGTTCAGCCATATTTTCTCATTTGATTTTCAAAACAAACTTGTAAGATATACAATGTGAGGAGCTGAGAATCATGGGGGTGAAGGGAATGGCCCAGTTTTCATTGTAAATTACTCAACTTTCCCTTTTAGTGTTCATTTCTTTGTTAAATACTGTATCTTTCTTAACTCTGGATCTTCTTTCCACACAATGCCAAAACCACTTCCCAGTTGAATATGAATGGCTCCCGCCCTCATAGCAGGAATGAGTGTGATTCCAGTGAGAGTCAGGAGACAAGAAAAGGCAGGTCCAATACAGTATCAGCTGTAAGCACAACTCAACTGTTTGCTCCTGGCGCCCCCTAATTAATCCACAAACATCTCTACTGTTGTATTGCTACTGTTACAAAGGGAGAGTCAAGATAAAAATATAAAAGTCTTCTAGTATTTTCTCTGATCCAATTATAACAGGAGACATAGAACATTCCAAAGAAATTAATGACAGCCAAATATATGACACCACTGATTTGGGCAGAGGACTGGGACCAGAAGCCAAGGTCCACCAACCAACTGAGATGCTGCAAGGCTCGACCCAACTTCAGATCTCATCAAAGAACAGATTGGCCTCCCTCCTCAGACCGTGATGCCCAAGTAGCAGAGCATGTTGTAGGCCAAGTCTACATCAGAAAGGGGTAGACACTTAAGATTCCCAGGCCTCTCCTGTAATTTCACATATGACCTGTTAGATCCATGGGTGCCATCCTACCACACAAGGGCCAAAAAGGACCCAGCACCTGCTAGTATTTCTGTTTTCTTCAGTTTCCTCCAATCAGAGTATCCTAAAATATCACTATGGGGCTGTCTGTCACACAACCATGTACACTACTAACACGCACACAACCACCACACTGGAAATAGTTTTGCACCCTAACCTTCATCACCTCCTTTGCTCAACAATCCTGGGGAAAAAAGTGGGTGCTATTATTACCCTCCATTTTAGATTAAAAAAAAAAAAAGCACAAAGAAACTCAATAATTATAATTTATCCTAAACCAAGCAGGGTGAGCCCAGGTCCACGTCCTCAGTTCCTCTTCTCTACTGATATGCTTTGATGTGAAATGTCCTCCACAGGACTGTGTATCTGCACACTTGTTCTCCAGCTGGTGGTGCCATTTGGGGAAGCTGTAGAAGCTTTAGGAGGTAAATAGAGCCTTGTTGGAGCAAGTGGGCCACTAAAGTGAGCTTGAGGTTCTATAGCCCAGCCCCACTTGCAGTCTGTTCTCTGTGAGCAGCCACCTCATGTTCCTGCCAGCCCAGCATGCCTTCCCTGACATCCCATGATGAACTTTAGTCCCTCAAACTGTAAACCACAACAAACTCTTCCTCCTTTAAGTGACATCTTATCAGGTGTTTGGCACCAGCAACAAGGAAAGTAACTGGTGTGTCTGCCCTCTCAGCACTCACATCATCCTCTGAAATTCTGGACGCCTGCTCTTTTATCTGTCGATGCCACCAATTCTCAACATCCTTTCTGGTCTGTAGTGTGTACTCCTTCGTCCACGTCCCTGTGGCACTGTAAATACTTCTGGCACACGCTGGAATTGTTCTTCTTTCCCACTGGATGACAGGTGGCCCACAGACGAGCTGCCTTGTCAGAGGACAGGCATAAAAACGCAGCCTCTGACAAGCTGATGCCATTCTTCAGGAGGGAAGACCCTAAGAAAGAGGAAAGAGGGACATGATATGAGCCACCCAGACCTCTTTCTTTGTCAACACAGCCCAGCATTTACTGCCTGTTCATATACTGTCTCTTCTTCTTTTGACAATCATTTCCTAACAGAATGTTTTAGGAGTTCTGCTGAATTAGATACAAACTTTTTATTGGAAACATAAAAGCAATGCAGTCCCTAAATACCAAAGATACAAAACCCTCAAAGAAACAAAGGGAGTCATTACAAAGGCCAGTTGCTACAGAATTTGCCCAAAGCAAGGAAGGTGACTGAGCTCCTCCCTCCTGAGTCTATCTAGGCAATCAACTGTCTGTCTGAACCTCAGAACTCTACACACATCTTATCTTAGCCTTGAGCTCAGGTATCAGAAGGGATCTCAACACAGGTCTCCCAGAAGGACCAGAAATTCTGAACTAAGTTAACAGTTTTCATTATATTCAGTCCATACACTGTTCCAAGCACTACAGATACAGCAACAAAGAGTCCCAGGCTGAAAAGACACAGAGTATGTGCTTAGCATACGTGAAGACCCAAGTTCCATCCCTAGCAAGCAAAAACAAAAGACAAAGTACCTTCTTTCCCAGCAACTAAATATAGAGAAGCAGGTAAGACACAAATAAGCATATGACATAACACACAGCAGTGTTGTCATATAACTCTCTGGATTACAACACTGTGTGGGGTACTGCAGTATAACCACCGGGGGTTCAAATCTAAATTCTGATATTTCACTGGTTTCCTCCTCAGGTGAATGGCGGAAAAGGCCTTGATAAAGAACTTTCCTACTTTATCCCCTTTCAGGGGCTCAGGTGAGATTTCATCAAACATTTGATGAAACATACAAAACTTTCTGCCTTTTCTTGCATAATAGCAACAGGGAGGTAAAAAGATAAGAGAGACAAGGAAACCTGGCATTCCAAACTGGTGTCAATCACATGATTCTCTCAGAATCCTTCCCATATCTACTAGGGTTTAGCCTGTTACATGAAGGTACTGGATCAAATGTTGCCAGGAGGGTTACTATAGGCTCTAAAAGAGGAATTCACTCTCACATATCATGATACTGTAGCACTGGCTTTGTTGTAAGCTGATCTGCCTAAGTTCTTGACATACAAATTCACACTATTTTTAACAATTCTTACTCTTTTAGGGCTAGAATAAGTGACAGGCTGGAACAGGGAAGATTCCCCTATCAGTTGGGTTAGCAATTCTATATGGCTAACTTTACATAAGGAGGGCAATTACATTTCTTTTTAGGGCTTGGAGTTCTATATTATTAAAACCATCTATGTGAATCAGAGACTCTATGGTTTTCTTCTATTTTTTTGTCATGAGCTTAGCCTTTAACGGCAGGGCCATCTCTTCAGCCCCATTTTACGGTTTTCTTACTAGATATTCTGAAATCACTATAAGCCGAAGACTGTCTATTAACAGAAGGCACCTAGACAGATACCTGACATTTCTTTCCTAGGTAGCACATTAGGAGAATATCCTAGGCTACTCTCTTTCACAAATAGGACTAGGATAATGAAATACAAATTGACTTGGACCACTGTTTGCTGTGTTTGGGATTTGGGGATTACCCATCAGGATGGCTCAAACACCAAAGAGCAATCACGGGCAGCAGCAATATGAATGCACAGAAACCCTCTGCTGGCCACACAATAAGTTGTGCATTAATCCAGGCTCTCTAATAGCTCTTCCTTTGTTTAAAGCAATGAACTAGAAAACACTAAACAAATCTAAGTACATACAAGAGTTCAAGCTCATAATGAGGACTGGTAAAATGGCTCAGCCAGTGAAGGTTTCTGCCATCAATCCTGACAGCCCAAGTTTGATCCTTGGGACCCATAAAGTAGAGAAGAGAACCAACTCCTGAAAGCTGTGTCCATGGCACACATGCCCACAAACAAATAAATAAATGTAATTAAAGTTCATAAAGAAAAAATCCCGTGCAGATTAGGAAGTTAATAGGGAACTGTCTCTGTGGCTTGGGTGGCTTAGCGGGTAAACTGCTTGCTGCGTAAGTAAGAGGACCTGAGTTCAGATCCCCAGCACCGAGGTAAAAGGCCCTACAGGTGTGACAGCACATATGTTTGTATCCCCAGCATTGGGAGATGGGTGTTATGGAAAGAGGAGGACCCCTGGAGCCTGCTGACCAGCCAGGTTAGCCAATCACTGAGCTCCAGTTTTAGTGAGAGACCCTGTTGCAAAAACTAATGTAGAGAAAGATAAAAGATACCTACTACTAGGGATTGGAGAGATGCCTCTTTGTGTAAGAGCACTTAAAGCTCCAAATCTCCTACAGAGCACCAACAGGGTAGCTCACAACCATCTACAACTCCAGTTCAAGGGATCCAATGTCTCTTCTGACTTCCCAGGGTTCCTGCACACATATGACAGAGATCTACACTCATCCACACACATATACATTAATGAAACAATCCACATAAAATTAATAAAATTAAAACGTTAAAAACCCGAACGTTGACCTCTGGACTCCATATGTGTGCATTTGTGCATACACATATGTACATCCAAAAAAATAAAAATAACAGGATCTCTCTCTTTGGCCCAGCCTATTCTCTATTCTTTTGCCTCAGCCTCCTCAATGCTAGCATTATATGTATGCCACCATAGCTGGCTCTGAAAATCACTGATTATTCAGTGTATTTGAGAAAATTTTAAATCAGAGCTAGACCTCAAACCATAAACTGGCAAAATCCCAATGTTTTAGGGAGAAGTGGGAATTTGAGACAGGATTTCACGTAGCCCAGGTTGGCCCTGAACTAGCATTGCAGACAAGGATAACCTTGAACTCCTGATCCCCCTGCCTCTGCCTCCCAAATGTTATGTTTATAGGCACCACACACCATCAAACTTAGCTAATAAAGTGCCACAGATAACCAGTCTTTCTCCAAAACCATAAAACATCTGTATACCAGGAACACATAAAATGTGGTGGGACAGGCTTGTGATCTCAGCACTAGAGAGGCTATGACAGGAGGATCGTAAGTCAAGGCCAGCACAGCAGTGTAGCTACATAGTGAGACCCTGTCTTAAAAAATGGAAAAAAATATATATTTTTTTGCTACAGAATAAACAATTTGCTGAAGGACATTACTTGTGTCAAACTACAATGACAAAAGGTTATACAACTCCATAAAGAGTTCACATATGAGAAAAGAAACCCCAACCCATGTTTAAAATAGGCAAAGGTATAGGTATGAAAGTATAGCTTAGTGGTAGAGTGCTTGCTTAGCAAGTCAAAGGCCCTGGATTCAATCCACAGCACCAGAAAAATGGAGTGCAGGATGGGGGAGGGAGTGTATTTATTGATAAGAAAGAAGAAAGGGCAAAAAAATATGAAAAGATCAACTTTACTACTAATCAAAGAAATAAAAACCATTAAATATCTTGCTCATCATGTTGGAAAAAAATTGAATGAAATCATTATTTGTATATACTCCTAGTATAATATATAATATAATATAATATAAATTGATAAGACCTCTCTGAAACAATCTGGCAATGTAAGTATGACAGGGCGGTTAAGAATCGGTGATGTTGGTGGGCCGTGGTGGCGCACGCCTTTAATCTCAGCACTCGGGAGGCAGAGGCAGGACGTTCTTTGTGAGTTCGAGACCAGCCTGCCTGGTCTACAAGAGCTAATTCCAGGACAGCCTCCAAAGCCACAGAGAAACCCTGTCTCAAAAAAAAAAAAAAAAAAAAAAGAATCGGTGATGTCTCACACCTGGAATGCCAGTAGCTTGGGAGGAGGCTGAGGTAGGAGGATTGCCAAGACAAAGCCAAGCATGATGGTGTGCACCTTCAATCCCAGCATCCTGGAGGCAGAGGCAGGTGAATCCCTGTGAGTTCCAAGATAACCTGGTCTACAAAGCAAGCTCCAGGACAGCTAACGCTGTTATTACACAGAGAAACTTTGTCTCAAAAAACACAAAACAAAACAAAAAAGTTCCAGGATAACCTGGGCTACCAGGAGGTGCAGGGAAGCATGAGCTATATAAGGAGACCCCATCTTTAAAAAAAACAAACAAGGGACAAGAGAGATTGCCCAACATAACTGCTCTTGCACAGGATCCCAGTTTGGTTCCCATCACCCACAGTAGGTGGCTTATAACTGCATAAGACTCCAGCTGCAGGGAGATCTGATGCCTCTGGTCTCCATAGGCACCCACACTCATGTGCACATACACACACATATACACAGACACATAATTAAAAATAAACCTTAAACAAGACAAAAATCCATTAAGAAAATCTAAGGGTTAGGGATATTAAACAGATGTTCAGCATATCCCTGGGCTCAATCCTCAGCACCAAAAACAAAATAAAACAAATAAATATGGCACATATGGAGGCTTGGATGTAGCTTGGCAGAGTAATTCCCTGGCAGCGTTTGAGGCCACTGGTTCCTTCCCCAGCAATACAAAAAAATAAAGTTCACATTCTTAGGCATAGGCCCAAGATCACACTCTGATTCTTATTCATTAGAATGTACTGGGAACAAATAGTCTGCACTCATACCTATGAGTTCACAGAACTTTTGGGTTCCAACCCTGTTCTCTCCTTTTACTTCCTAGGCATAGTTCTGGGCCACTTCAAGTACCTCTCCCCGGAAGTCCTAATAGGCACTGCCTCTTCCTGGCATCAAGAACAGCCATTTTAGCATCTTACATTTACAATCAGCTTGGACCCTTCCTTTCTTGGCTCTGGCTCATCTTATTTCTTTACTTGCTGGAATGTCGTCTCTTCTGCCTCTTTCCAAAGCATTGCCCCCTCCCCGGTGCTCCTCTCTCAGTTCAGCCCTGACCTGATCTCCCTTTATGTGGGGCTTATGGTTAAAGTAATTGAGAATATGAGGGACCTGAGAAATGGGCCCAAAGTGATGATCATAGTCAGGAAACCTAAGGCAATAGCAGAAGGCAGTTAAAGAACTGGTACACAAAGGAGAAGCACACACGCGCTCCCAAAAGAATATGCAAGAAACCCAATGGGCGGCAGAGGCAGGGGGACTAGGAGGTTAGAGGCCAGCTTCATAAATCCCTGTTTCCAAAAAAAGGCGGGGGAAGGAAACCAAGTTAGGTCAGGGAGGTGGGTGCATGCCCATGATCCCAACACTCAGAAGGCTGAACAGGGTTGGTTCTAAGTTCAAGACTATATATTACCGGCTGCATATTAAGCTCAGAACAACATGAAATACACAACAAGACCCGGTCTCAAAGAAACAAAACAAACAAGTAATCATACACCTCACCCCAGCAAACATGTCTTGCAAAACACAGTGTTAAAAAGCAGGTGCTAAGTGTAATTTCCTGCAGGAGCTCAGACAAGTCATTTCCTATCTGGAACTCCACCTTCTCTGAGCTGTGAGCCTATAAGGTGCTATGTCCAGATGACTTCTGAGGACCTGCAGGTCCGGTTACACTGTGGATCCCCAAGATGATGTGCGTGATCTCTGACTGGCTCCAAACCCCCAGCCCTGGAGCGAAGACCTCGGGACCGGGGTTAGGCGAGGAGCAGAGGAGAACTCAAACACAAAGTCACGTGAAGATGTGCGTTTCTCCAGGCAGAGTCCGGAGCAGTCAGCATGCTCCACGGCTCTACAGGCGACTCTCGGAGCTGCAAGGCCCAGGGGCTGACGGTCCGCCTTCACTCCTGCCCTAGCGGCCGGGGTTGGGCAGGGCCTGTCTCTCGTCCTCCTGAGCCCCAGCTGCGGGTTACCTGCTCACAGGCTCTGGCCTGCAGTTCCCGTCCGCTCCCCAAAGCACTACACGACCGAAGTCACTGTGGGCGCCGCCATGTTGACAGAACAACAACTTTATCAGAGGCGGAAGCCGCGGACACAGACAGGGGAGGCGGAGCAAGGGCGGAAAGGCGAGGTGCGCCAGCCGAGGCGCTGACTCCGCCCCCTTCGGGCCCCGGCCCGGGGAGGCCCCGCCCAGGCTTCGCACAGGCCCCGCCCAGGCCTCGCCCTCTGTGCGGGCTTTCCTGACTAATAAATTCTACTTAACCTGGATGTCACGTTATTACAATGTGGCAGAAACGGGGAAGATGCTAAAGAATAAAGGAGGTAGGATGTAAAAAGAGCTCTGGAGTGGTTCAAGGTCAGGGTTTGAATCTTAGCTCACCAGAAACCGCCTACTGGGCTGGTTTGTCTCACTTTTTGATCCATTGTGGGCCTGGTGATTGTTGAAGCACTTTCATCTGCCTTATCAGATGATAGAAGCTCAGGAGGAGAATTGCCTAGCCCAGAAGAGAGTAGGCAGATAAGAAAGCAAGCTGCCTCGACAAACACTTTCCTTAGGGGTTTAATGAACCCCATCACCCTACATTTCAGAGCAAGTACTTCTGGCTTGTAATAAACTAGGGAATTTCAAAGGAGCAATGATATATTTTTATGGGAGAATTCTAAAAACATATGTAAGAAGTCCAGAATACTGAGATTTAATAATATTGCAAAATGGTTGATGTCTAGTAGATCAAAAAACAGTGTCTGAGAGCCATTTTTCCTGCAGAGCTGAACTTAATTGTACCGCCATAAACGATCATCCCATCATGGCATATCCTCCACCTTAGATTCTGTCCCTAAATAGATGAATGTAGTCCATAAAGAGGACAGCAAGGGTGCACACTCCTACAGAGCAAAACTTTCCATTCTGTGTGCCACCCAGGGACACAAGGGAACCTTTTATCCATTTCCAAGACTTTTTTTTTTTTTAAGTTTCCTGAAACTTGAAAGTTCAAAACACCATCTTACTCTAGAACAGCAGCAAACCTCAGAAGAAAACCAGTTACAAATAAGAATCTCAGGCTCCATTCTGGGAGCCTGTTTCAGAGCCTGCATTTTAACATGAGCCATGAGTTCAAGTCCGAGATTCACTAAGCTAGAATGTGAGAGATTTTGAATACTAAAGTAGCTTTCTCCATTTACAAATATATAAACTGAGGCACAGGACTGGTGAAGCATTTGTCTAGATGCACAAAGCCCTGGATTCAACACCTAGTACTGCATAAACCAGGTACAGTGGTGCACACCTGTAATTTCAGCACTCAGGAGGTGGAGACAAGAGGATCAGAAGTCCAAGGTCATCCTTCCCTACATAGTTGCAGGCCAGCGTTGGCTACATAAGATCTTTTCTCAAAACAATGATCAGGAAAAACAAAACAACAACAACAAAAAACTGAAGCCAGAGGGAGCTGGCTGTCTTGCTCAAGGCCATGATGCAAGTTAATGAAAGATTTGGGATCCAAAACTGGGATCAGTGTGTGGTGGCAAACACTTAGTGATGTCAGCTTAGGAAGCTGAGGCAAGACACCCTGGAAATCAAGTCCATCCTGAGCTACAAAGCCCTGTCTCAAAAATTAAAAAAAATGAAAAAATGAAGTTTGGAGACTTACTCTTGAAATCCCAGCTGTCAAGAGGCTGAGGCAGGAGGATTGCTCTGAGTTAAAAGCCAAACTGAGTTACTTAATGACTATCAAGTCCACCTGGGCTACACAGTAAGACCTTGTCTAAAATTGTTGTGGAATGATCTTTTTGTACACTGTGAAGATGTGTCTTTGCCAAGAAGCCTATTTAATAAAAAGCCAAACAGCCATTAGCAAGGCAGGAGGTATAGGCAGGACAACCAGACACAGAGGATGCTGGGAAGAAGAGAGGCCGGGTCTCCAGGAGACACAGTGAGCAAGACATGTTGGAGAGCAGGTAATCCATGAACCACGTGGCAATGTAGATCATTAGAAATGGGTTAATTTAAGTTATAAGAGCAAGTTAGAAAGAAGCCTAAACTATAAGTCAAGCTTTTATAATTAATAATAATTTTCCGGGTTATGATTTGGGAGGTGGCTGGTGGAACAGAAAAGGTCTGACTACAAAAAATAAAACCAAAACCAGGAAAGAAAGAAAAAAACATAGTCTTTGGCCTATCATATTGATATTTGTTGCCAAATTGCAAAATGAAAAATTATAAGGAATATAATTGCAACCTAATTCCCTCACTTTGAGGATGATGGGACACAGCTTGCCTGAGGTCATATACCTACCGTAGGGAAGAGCCAGGACATCAACCCAGACCTCTTGATCTCTCTGCCACTAAGATAGGGTGCTTAATGTAAGGCGTTACCATGGAAACACTGTCCAGTGGATGAACATAAGACTATTTTTTCTTTTCTTTTTCTTTCTTTCTTTCTTTTTTTTTTTTTTTTGAAAATTGATTCTTGGGCTGGAGAGCTGGCTCAGTAGTTAAGAGTATTGACTGCTCTCCCAGAGGATCCAAGTTCAATTCCTACTGCTCAAATGGCAGCAAATAACTGTTTGTAACAACTATCTGTAACGGAAAACCTTATACCAACATATAAGCAGGTGAAAGACCAATGTTGATTTTAACTAAGTCTCTGTAATTCTATTTTTATCAATAAAGACTCAAGAGTCTGATACTGGAGTGAAAACCTGCTAGCGCAGAAAGACAGAAAAAGCACCAGACTGCTTCCTCCTCCACTGTTGTCCCAGAAAGAGTTTTCTCGTATCTTCTCAAAAACCAACCAAACAAAAAACACCTCCTCCAGCCAGATGTCTCTCTCTCTCTCTCTCTCTCTCTCTCTCTCTCTCTCTCTCTCTCTCTCCTCCTGACTTCCTACTACCCTCTTTGTTTTTATCCTGTCAACAGATTGCTTGCTCCACCTCTTGACCTATGGTTGATTTTATTTAATCCTGTTGACAATATTCAAGCAGAAAACTCTTGGATTAAAGGGGTGTAAGGGGTGTGCTAGGGCTGAACAAAACCACAACTAGAAGCTGCTTTTTTTCTTTTCAGTAAATAACACAATCTCGGGTTCACAGTGTGATCAAATATCCTGCAACACACCAATGCAAATAAAATTAAAATAAATAAATTTCTTTTAAATGAAAGAAAATTGATTATTGTAAGGAGCCTTGTAACCAGGCAGGCAAAGGCCTGGCTGGAGGGAGATTAGGACAGAGGATACAACCAGGCAGGCAAAGGCCTGGCTAAAGAAAGATTAAAGGAAAGGGAGCATAGGCCCACTAAGCAGCCCATCTGTTGTAGATAAGAGTAAAACTGTGTGGTGTGGCAAAGTGTGATTAGCACGATTTAGCGAATTATTTAAGGACCAGCTCAGAACTAGGATTTTTTTTTTCAGAAATAGGATTTTAGAGTGTACCATGACTCTATGTCCTGGAGCTCTCCTCCGCTAACCTAAGACAACCAGTCCATCAAGCTGAGTGCCTCCGTTTCTGAGCCCCACAACACCAGGCCCTCAGGAGACTCGCCCGCCTGAATCCAGAGGAGCAGAAGTCCCGAGCCCGAACCTGCAGGCTGCTGCAGGAGAGGTACCCGCTGCTGTGAGCCTATTGTCTGTGGTTCTTAGGATTGTTTGCCTATGCTTGTGTGTTGCTTTGACATAAGTGTGAAGTAAAACTTATACTCAAAACCAACTCGCTGAGTTTGTCATTCCACCCAGGTAAAAACCTGGTAAGGGCTCGAGACAATTATTTTTTCATATGCTATATCCTGATTATAGTTTCCTCCTCCCTCTACCCCTCCAGTTCCTCCCCACTTCCCTCCCCTCTGGATCCACTGCCTTTCTGTCTCTCATTAGATAGGAACAGGCTTCTAAGAACAACCAAACATGACAAAAATATAATAAGATGATGGATGCAAAAACTATATCAAAGTTGGACGTGGCACCCCAACAATTGGAAAAGAGTCCCAAGAGCAAGCACAAGAGTCAGAGACCCACCAGTTCTCACAATAGTTTAAAAATACTGTAGTAATTTGAATGTAATTGATCCCCATAAACTCATAGGGAGTGGTGCTATTAGGAGGTGTGGGTTTGTTGGAGCAGGTGTGGTCTTCTTTGGAGGAGTGTGTCACTGTGGGCGTGGGCTTGAGGTCTCCTTTGCTCAAGCTACTCCCAGTGACACCAATGACTTTCTGTTGTCTGCAAGATGTAGGACTTTCAGCTACTTCTCAAGCACCGTGTCTGCCTGCACGCCACCATCTCCCACAATAATGAGAATGGACTGAACCTCTGAAACTGTAACACACCACTTCAATTAAATGTTTTTCTTTATAAGAGTTGCCGTGGTCATGCTGTCTCTTCAGAGCAATGGAAACCCTCAAACAAATACTAAACTAATAGCTGTAATATAAACACAGAGGCCCTGATGTAGACTGGTGTAGGCCCTCTTCTTGCTGCTTCAGTCTCTCTGAACTCTTATGAGCCTTGCTTAATTGATTCAGGGGGCCTTGTTTTCTTGGGGCCCGAAATCCCCTCTGACTCTTACAATCTTTCTTCATCCTCTTCCTTGGATTCCCTGAGCTCTTGAGGGATTTGATGGAGACCTCCAACTTAGACTCTCTCTCCACTTAATATCTGGTTGTGGTTCTCAGCATCTGTTCCCATCTGCTGCCAGGGGAAGTCTCTCTAATGATGAGTAGATAAGTATAGCAGAATATCATTAGGAATCATTTATTGATTTTTTTTTTACCAATAGTGTTTGATTTTTACACTAGGTATCTGGGCTATCTAGTCAATGGTTCTTTGTTACTCAACAGTGCTGGGAATAGGTTCCATCTCGTGGAGTGAACTTGGGTCAAGTAAGACATTGGTTGGCTACTGCCACAAATTCTGTGCCAGCATTGCCTGGCATATTATGCACTAAGTTCCCACA